AAAAAAAAAAAAAAAAAAAAAAAGTAAATAAATTATGAAGTCTAAAGATAATACTAAACATACAAGTAATAAAAATAATACTTGACTGAATGGCACTGAATTTTTTATTTTGTTTTTTGGTGAATGGCTTGTGAATTAGATCTCAATAAAGTTATTTTTAAAAATGCTTCTTTTAAAAATCCCAAATTTTGATGCCAGTTCCTTTACATAATACCTACATTTTAGTGCTTTATAAATTTAATGTCACTACAGGATTCTACGGGAAAAAAAAACAAAACATTTTATGACTTGCATTTCTCTTAGACAACTCCTTACTTAGCCAAAAAATATAATCAACTCATTTAGATAACTTTTTAAAGAAAAATGGCCTCTGTCTTAACTACTGTAAACTGTAAAACTAGTTCAAAAAGTTATAAAACACTCTAGCTTCTCACAGGACAAAAACAGAATTCTTAAAAATGGGAAGGTAAACAAATTTCAGCTGGTAACACCCAACTATACGTTTTAGGTTCTAATATGGCCTGGTGGAAAGCAGAGGAATTACATATAAACCCCTCTCTCTCTCCACCTTAGCCTTGGGACTCACAAAATTAAAAAAAGTTTTGTGTTTGGTTGGTTGTTGGTGCTGGGGATTAAACTCAGGACCTTTGTGCTAAACTTTTAAAATTTTTTTTTCAGATAGGGTCTCAATAAGTCACTATTTGCTCTAGCTGGGCTAAAACTTGCAATCCTCCTACCTCAGCCTGCTAGAGTGCTGGGATTACAGATTTGTGCTGCCATGCACAGCTTAAGATGTTGATGGAAGTGTGTAAAGGCACAGAGGATACAGAAGCAAAGAGAGGAGCCTGAGATAATACTTTTTTTACACAATATTCTGGATTGTGGATTAGCAACATCATATTTATTTATGCTCCCAGTTTTATGTGGAGGGGAAAAGAAATATACATTGGTGAATCTGAGAAACACGCTTTAAACAATGAAATAACAATGCCCACAAACACCCATAGGACCAGCATCTAAACTTTAAAATTTAAATTGATTTAAAACTTGTGAAACACGAACCTTTATGGCAGAACTAGAAGTCTGTTCCCACCAGTCCCTCATACCTGATAGCAGGCAATCCAGCTCCTTCAAAACTCTGAAGAATTAACTACATCAAGAGTCATCATTTTTATGCATTTCATATTTAAATAGCAATGCTACAATTTTTTTTTTAACTCACAGAAGTTTAAATTAATGTGCATTTCCATAGGTATCTCGTCTTTTGGCCAAAAAAACAAAAAAAAAAAACAAAAAAACAAAAAACAAAAAACCCAAAAAACAGAGTAACTTGGTAACATACTGTAAATCTTTCTTTGATAGTCATATCATCATGGATATTAACGTGTAAAATAAAAATGTGACTATAATGATATAGGATTTCCCTATAAAAAGTATCTGAAATTTAAACTAATCTATAAAGGGTATATAATAAATGCATCTTTCTACCAATAAGACATTAGAATGTCAGGATAAAGTATGATAGTTACTAAAAGTAAATCATAAAAGATTACAAATGACTTGATTTAGATCACAGAATCTATGAGAATACAAAAAAACTTTCAAGGTTGAGTTCTTATTCTTTCCACCATACTTATAAAGTCAATAATTTAAAGATAATAAAACCTTACTATTTCAGAGTATTTTTCTTGGTCAAAACTTTTTAAACTCATTGCTATGTAATTTACCTATCTGGATATGATTTAAACTACATAGGGCCGGGGATTTAGCTCAGCGGTTTGGTGGCCTGCCTTGCAAGCTCAAGGACCAGGGTTCAATCCCCGGGACCAAAAATAAATAAATAAATAAATAAATAAACAAACAAACTACATGAGAGGAGAGGGCTAACATTGTTTTAGTGACCGAAAATCAGTAAATTTTAATACTTATACATTAGAATTTCTGAAATCGAGTTTGTAGTTATTTACAAGGGAGAGGTGTTGCTTTTCCAAACCTACCTAACATTTTTTTGAGCTTTTAAAAGGAACTGGATCTACTGAAAATAGATGTTAAAAACCACAGAAGAAACAGACTTTTAGTTCTATACAGATTCAACATGTCTTTAAAAAACAATTTCAAAAGATACAAAAGAAGTCAGTCAATTTCTACGTGTGGATTTAAAGTGAAATATTTCATGGAAATATTTTATTTTAGGCAATTTTTAAACATTTAAAATTATAAATTACAGAAAAAATATTCAGACTATTTTAGAACTTAGAGGATATAAAGTAAACCAGATCATCTTACAATTTGATCACAAGAAAGTTCACTAACTCACAATTAAATCCACAATAACTGTTAGAAAATGTCTGGCAATGCATGAACAGTGAGCAAGACAAAGTTTCTTTGCTGTATTCAAAGTTTCTTGCCCTTAACCAGGAAGGACTTATACTGCATTATAGAATTTAGGCAAGACTGGTACACAGGTTAATGGTACACAGATTAATGCATATGAGAAAAATACCTTAAGTTATTGTAGCAATAGCTTCATTTAAATCCAACTTTCCAGTTCACTGTTCTCTTTTTGAAACTGAGAGAATTTACTGAAAACAATGCTCTGATGGATGTTAAGTACCATTGTAAAAGATGAGAGGTATCATATTAGGCAAGAAACCTCTCAACACAAAGACAGATAAAACTTCAGAATGTGTAATTTTCCCCTTTTCTAAAGTAAACACCTTTAGCAACCTATATGCCCAACTGGGGAAAAAAATTATAGTTGGGGAAGCTAATATTACGGAAAGCATTCATTCTAATTCATTATTAAGACTTTTTTTTCCTGTTAATTTATCTGTCAATCTTTTGTTCAATTTAAAAAAAAAACCATCTGAACCAATTCTACATAGTTATAAAAGTGTATGATTTGAGGGCTGAGTAAAAATAAATGATAAATTTCAAACATTCTTTTTTTATACTTTTATCACTGTTAAAAATGTCTATATAAAGTATTCAAAACTTCCATTATTTTCAATTAATTTAAAATAAATATGTTGCAAATATTTTTATTATAGGGAAAAGATTATAGCAATATGCTACAGTCTGAGTCCTTTTTTTAGATCACACAAAATGTTTCCCTTTCAGCAAGTCTTTGCTTTGTTTTTTGGTTTTTTTTGAGACAGGGTCTCACTACGTGGTTGAGACTGACCTGGAACCAAGCGCAGGCTGGTCTTGAACTGACAATGATCCTCCTGCCTCAGCTTCCCAAGTGCTGGGATTACAGGTGTGAACCACCACACCTGGCAGCAAGTCTTTAATTTTTTTTTTTAATTGTTAAATAAAAACTAAAATATAGTTTTCCACTCATATTTAACCTTTGTGTGTGCAGTCAATAAAAGTTTTAAACATTTCCATATTTAATGACAAAGTAAGTCCATTTTATTTATTTATTTTTGTTTTGTTTTGTTTTGTTTGGTACCGAGGATCAAACTTGGGTCCTTGCATTTACAAGGCAGCCGGCAGAACCACTGAGCTAAATCCCCGGCCCTAAAGTAAGTCCATTTTAGAAGACAGCACCTACTGATGCCAATGTGAAATTTTAAGATAATAATTAAATCAAGAAAATTATATTGAAAAATTGTGATGTTAAAGATAAATATTTTAAAAATTACTAAACAAACCCTCAAATCACACTCTTTTTGATATGAACTCTGCCAGCACTGTTCATGCTGGCCAGATAATACTATAGTTTTTCTTTAATAGAGTAAAATGAAATGCATACCAGCAGCAACTACAGCTGGAGGAGGCAAGCCTGCCTCACCACCACTTGTCTGACTCATTGATGCTACAGATGTTTCTCTAGATGGAGGTAACTGTAACTCCTTTGGGAGAAGATCATAGACAGATTCTGTGGGGGGAAATAAGAGAAAAAAAAATTTAAGCCAGTAAACAACCTAATTTGATGTGTATGAGATGTCTTTTCTTTCATAAGAAGTATATTCACAACAATCAATCCCATAATGAATGTTATAAAAAGTAGTTAGTAATTTCTTTCCTTTGGATATGTTTTATTAAAAACTGAATCAATTCTGCTCCCTGTTTTATTTGTGGGGTGTCATTCCATACGTGCAAGATAGTCTCTAGAAAAAGTTATTTATTTTCTTTTCTTTGTAGCACTGGAAATTGAATCTATAGACAACATACTGGGCCACATGGCCAGTTCTTTTTTATTGTGAGACAAGGTCTCACTAAAATATACACATTGTGTTCTCACTTGCAATCCTCTTGCCTCTACCTTCTCCAGAATGCTGAGATTACAAGCATGGACCACCACACATCTGGCAAAAAAAAAATCCATCAAAAGAAATTTTTTTGGTAGTGGGGATCAAACTCAGGTGCTTGAGCTTGCGAGGCACAGATGGCAGAACCACTGAGCTAAATAAATCCCCAGCCCAAAAAGTCATTAAATTTTAAAACTAGACAGAAGAAATGTCAAAAAATCCTAAAATAGTCCAGTATCTTCCTTTGTAATGGTATTTGCCATCCTTTACATATGAACTAGTACATGATAGTATATATCAGCTATAAACTGGCTTCTCTTGTATTCTCTAATGTACTAGTACATTGATCTAGCCTTGCTTTTACTCAATATTCTTTAGTGAAGATTTTTTTTATGCAATCAAATTTTTAACAATAAAGATACTATTTTAACATGGTCAAATATATTTGGCTAAGTCCATATTTTTAAAAAAAGTATCTAGGGGCTGGGGATTTACCTCAGTGGTTCTGCTGCCAGCCTTGCAAGCGAAAGAAGTTCGATCCCCAGTACCAAAAAAACAAATCTATCTATGTATATATCTAGCTTGAACAGTACAATCATACAGCACTATCCAGAACATTCCACAGATCAACAGAAAATACATTTGAGCACAAAAATAAAAAATATTTAAAGAGAACCTCTAAGCAACATTTCATTTTATTTCTGCAAAACAGACATGTATCTTGTACTGATTAAATATCTACAAGTGCTTTTCCTTAAAAAAAAAAAAAAAAAAAAAAAAAAATTACAAAAAAATCTATTAAAAA